GCTTGCACCGCGTTCTGCGTGTCAATTTCTCCATGGTGGCCGCTGGTTGCTGCCGTGTGTGAACGGTGTTGTGGACATGGGTGCACGGGTAGTTCTTTGCAGGTGTGTCCTGAGGCGGGGCTGCAGGATCACGTGGTCATTCTAACCTGAGCGCGTGCAGGGGCTGCTGGGCTGCTGGACTCTGCCACGTTCCTGCCACTCCTGCCCGCGCTGAGCTCCGCCGCAGCGTCCTGGCCATCCCTTGTTACTTTCTGCATTTTTTTTTTTTTAAGTGGCCACCCTCGTGCGTGTGAGGTGGTCTCCTGGTGGTTTTGATAGCCTTTCCCTAAGGATCCATCATGTTAAGCATCTTTTTATGTTTATTGACCTTGTGTATTTTCTTTGGAGAGTTCCTGTTCATTCCTTTGCTCTGGTTTCATTTAACTGTAACTAACTCGGACTTTCTCACGTGGAGCCTTGGTGGCTGGCAGCCCAGTCCTGGACATAGGCCCTGAGCCCCCACAGCTCATAGGTGTACAGTAAACTAGGTGGTGCTGTCACCACCCCCACCAGATGCTGGAGGGGTGTCTCTTAAAGGGAAGGCAAAAGGGAAAACACGAAGCCATCATGACACCTAGAATCTCCATCGCAATTCCTCATTTTCATCATAAACCCAGGGGACACTTAGATTGATTGTCTCCTTCAACCCCTGGTGTTTGTCTTAATCCCCAGCCCAGTCACAATGCAGAATTTTCCTCAGTCCAGAAAATTCCCTGTTCTTTTCTTTAATATTATCATTGGAATAAAAACACATGAATAAAAAATTCTCAGAAGCAGGCACAGTGGGCACACCTGTAGTGCCAGCCACTCCGGCTGAGGCAGGAGGATCCCTTGGGCCCAGCAGTTCAAGGCCAGCCCGGGCAACAGCATGACCCCATCTGAAAAAGAAAACTCCCGTAGATCACTTGGAGTTCCCATTTGGAGATCACCCACAGGCTGCTCTTCTGCCCCTGGCTCTGCTGGCAGGAAGCTCACAGAGCTGGTCCCGGCTGGAAACCAGCGGCAGAGGGAGGGAGAAGGTCTGCAAGCCCTCTGAGGCTGGGGAGCACCTCCAGCCACAGGCAGCGCGCCTGGGTTCCAGATGCCAAGGGGCCGTGCTCCAGGGTCTTTGACAGAGCTCTCTACGTCTTTCTGAGGCCTGGGATCTAAAGAGGGCAAGCGCCCGGCTGCGCCTGTGGTCCCTCTCTGCTGCACCACCATTGCTTTCCAATCCCCGAGTGTCTCAGGCCTGCACAAGTGATGCAGAGACACACGCTGCCGCCTCCTAATCGTGTATTTGCTTCTAGTCTGATAATCAGCGATTGGAGGGGGCTGTCTGGTGTCCACCCTGGCCGCTCACCAGAGAGCCACCCTCCCTGAGCCTCCATTTCCTCATCGACACATAGGGGTGGTAAGCACCCGCCTCATAGGGACTGAGATGGAGAGATGAGTGAACACCCCGATGCCCACACCAGGGGCTGGCGCACAGTAGGCCCGCTCTTACGGTCATCACTGCAGTCCATCCTCGCCCCTCACAGATTCCCTGTGGGCAGTTCACTGACTTGCAAAAATGGTACCTTCCTGGTCACGTGCAAAATGGTCTAGTGTGATGAAAAATTGGAGTTCCCAGTGTCCGGCCTTTTCATTTCAGCTCATAGTAGCCTCTTTTCAGTCTTTTAGTGCCATGTTTTCATGTCATTATGCTTTTTGGTGACAATTTTGCCAGTTAGAATGGCCCCCAAGCCCTGTGCTAAAGCACCATGGAGGCGGCAGGCCCATAGGCAGCGGCTCCCTGTGGTGTGTCCACAGCGTCTGCTGAGGGGTGTCCTGAAACGGGGAAACCTGGGGGACTTTGGGCTGGTTGATAGAAACCTGCCCTCGTCTCCAGGAGCAGGTTTACAGTAAACTAGGTGGTGTATCATGATCACTAGTTCAGTGCTTGTGACAACTCTGTGGGACTCAGTGGCCTTGAGGAAGGAGAACTGGCCCTGCCCGGGACCACCTCTGGTGCACGCACTGCAGCCTGGTGCACGCCATGGGCGGCGGGCACGTGGTGTTGTGTGCTGGGAACCACATGGCCTCGGCTCATGCTCGTCCCCGCTGTCCTTGCGACCCCTTTAGCCTTGCCCTTTCAGCCCTTGCCATCTCCTCTGTCCCCCTCTCTGTCTGCTGACCCATCCCTGACCCTGCGCCTCTGTCTCACTCACAACCTCTCTCATTCTCTCTCTGCAGCTGGCCCCTGAAAGGACACTCTCCAAGTCCCCAGCGGGGGGCCCCGCGTAGACCTGGAGCGGACACCCCCTCCTTCCCTTCATGATTCGTTTGTAGCGCAGGTAACCAGGGAAGAATCCCTCCGTGCCCCTCCCTGGGTCCACCATGGCTGTGGGATGAGGAAGGAACTTTCCCACTTGGCAAAATCTATCTTAGTGACCTCCTTCCGCTCTTCCTGCTCCAGCCTAGGTCACTTGGGCCATCCCCCTGCCTCGTGCCAGTTGCAGACAGGACCTTACTGCCCCTTTTACCCTTCCTCCAGATCCTTCGCAGCTCTGGCCTTGGTGGGCCACCCTGGCTAGTTGGGGAGGGCAGGGCTTGTGGCAGAAGGAAGCACAGCGGGGGGCTGGCGGTGGGGCAGGAGAGCGTGTGTCCCCACCCATGTGCAGAGCCCAGGAGTGCCCCAGCTATGCGGCTCTCTGCTCTGTGTGGCAGGAGGGCCATCTGTGACCCCTGAGCACATGCATTGTGTCGCTGGGGCATGTTTCTGGCCAGAGGCCTTTGGGTTTCATCAACCTCCGCTGGCACTTCTCAGAGAAGCCCCAGCCTCCACTGGAGGCCCCGGCCCACACTCTTCCTTTCCATCCCAGAACACTCAAGGCTGGTGGGTCAGGGTGCAAACGTCCAGAGGGTGTACTGGGGTGAGGGGCTGCGAACCCACAAAGAGCATGCAGGATCATGAACGCACGGGGCTTTGCCTGTGCAGTCACCAAGCCCTCAGTGGGCTCAGGGCCCTCCCCTACGTGCACACACCAGCAGATGAGAGCCCCCCAGGCCTGACTGTGAGCCCCCACTGCTCGAGGACTCTGTCTCCCTTGCTGTGTCCCTAGGGAAGGGAGATGGTAGAAGGAACCCGGGGGGCAGGAAGGGATGGGTGGGTGAAAGGACAGGCGGGTCCACTGTCTAGGGGGAGGGGTGCGGCTGGATGAACTTTAGAGATGGGAAGATGGCAGTCTGGAGGGGCAGGGGAGGAACACCCCTTACTCACGGGGGTGACAGGCTAACGTTTGTGACCTGCCCAGGCCTGGCATGAGGCAGGCGCTCAGCAAACGTTAGCCCTCGCCATCCTCATCACTCCGACAGTGAGGGTAGCCCACCCCATGGGCCCCTCTCCCCTTCCTCCACCTCGGTTCCCCCATCTCCTTCCCTTCCTTGAGAACCACACCGCATGGCCTTCAGGGGGCCTGGGACCTGGGACCATAGGCCCCACCCCAATTCCCTCCCTCCCTGATCTGCTCCTTCACAGGGCAGACCCCTACCATGTGCCACTCTGAGCCAGGCCCTTCTCCAGGGAGCAGGCAGCACACTGGTGAAGAGCAGGCCTGGGGCACCCTGGGTTCAGGGCCTGGCTCTGCCACCTGCTTGCTGCACAATAGAGAGCAGCCATCTTGGCACCACCAGCTCCTCATCTGCAGAGTAGAGGTGGCAGCACTCCCCCCACAACACACAGGCTTCCGAGAGGACTCATTTAGCTAAATGCATCTGAAGCACTTAGCTCAGGGCCTGTGTGGTCCCAGCAGATGTCACTGTCATTGTCATCCTCAGGTGTTTGGGGGAGTTTGGGGATGAGGAAAGGGAGCTGTCTTTGGTCAGGAGTTTCTGCCTGGGAGGGCACCCGCTCTCATCTGTCCCCACAAACTCAAGGAAGCAGAAACTCTGACCCCTCCAGGGGGCTCCCCTGAAGGGAGGGGACTGAGCAAACTGTCACGATCTAACCTTGTCTCCCTCGCCCTCTTCCTGACCCCACCCCATCCAGTGGCGATGGATGATGAGGATGGGAGATGCTTACTAGACGTGATTTGGTGAGTAATGGGTTCCCCACCCACCCTCTCTCTCAAGCACCCCACTCCCCTTCCCCCTCCCAGCTCACCTCCTCAGTGTCTCTTCCTTTTCTCTCTTTCAGTGACCCTCAGGCCCTCAATGACTTCTTGCATGGATCCGAGAAGGTAAATATGGGTCAGAGAAAGGCATTCCTACATAGAGAGCTATGGAATTAATTGGCAGTGAAGTGTGTCCCCTTGATTCAATAGATGTCTGCTCTGTGCTTTGTATAAGCCAGGTACTGGAGTTATATTGATGAGCAAAATAGTAAATTCTTGCCCTTACACCACATGTATCTCTTTGCTAAGCAAAGAAGACGATAATTAATAAAGGTAATATGAAACCACTGTGCACAATATGGTGAGAAATAATGATGTCTTCTGCACAAGAAAGAGGTTTGGGCTGGAGTGTAGCTCAGTGGTATAACACCTGCCCAGCACACACAAGGCCCTCATTCATTCTCTGGCAATGTGTGTGCATGTGTGTGTGTGTGTGCATGTGTGTGTGCGTACACATACAAACACACACACACACACACACAATTAAAAGAAAATGAAAGGGATGAGAGTTTCCATTAGCTGCTGTGGTCAGAGAGGATGATGTTGAAGGTAGCCACAGTGCTCCTGGCAGATACAAAGGTAGGAAAGGGAGTGGCATGTTCAAGGAACAGAAAGAAGGCTGATTGGGCCAAACTGAAGGGGAAACTAGTAGGACGTAAGATGAAGTGGACAGAAGTCACCAGGTTATGAGGGCCTGGGAGGCCCTGACAAAGGAGTTTAGATTCTTCATTCAGAACGTGACAGCAGCCCTCATGGGTTATTGAGCAAGAGAATCCCAGATTCAGTTTTCACCCTAGAGATTGGAGCAAGGGTGAGGCAATGAGCAGCTCTATTAGTTTTCTCTGGTCTTGCAACAGATCATCTCCATATGACTTGAGACATCTGTTACAGTTTGTGATACTTAGGAACTTGCAGGCAGCTTAAGTGGATGTTTCTGGCTCAGGGACTCTTATGATGGCACAATCAAAACATTGACCGGGGCTGTGTCATCTGAGGGCTCTCTGGGGCTAGAAAATGTCCTTTTGCCATGACTCCTGCCTAAGGCTGCTTGTAGGAGGCCTGAGTTCCTCATCAAGTGGGCCTCTTCGTGGCACTGCTGGAGTGTCCTCAGGACATGGCAACAGGGTTCCCCCGGAGGAATGATCTGAAAGAACAAGGAGGAAGCCACAGGACCTTTTATGACCCAGTCTCCAGAGTCCTGCATGGTCGCTTCCGTCATGTTGTATTCACAGCAGAGAGTCCTGGCCCACGCTCAGAGGGAGGGGATGAGCTCCGTGCTAGAGAGGAGAGGTACCGAGTAAGTCTCGGAGCTGGCGCAAATGCAGCGGGAGACACTGGCCTGGCTGCGACTCAGGCAGTGGGGGACACTGGCCTGGCTGCGACTCAGGCAGTGGGGGGTGGGAAGTGCTGGCTCAGGATCTGTTTGGAAGGTGGAACTAATAGAACTGCTAGTGGATTTAATGTCAGGGGATTGAGAGGGCCTCAAGCAACTTCCAGATTTTGACTTGAGCAACTAAATGGATTGTAGTGCTGTGTTTCTAAGAATTGAAATTCAGGGCAGATTCCAGAAGTCCTGGTGGGATGTTGGATATACAAGTTGGGGTTCTGGAGAGACCTTCAGCTGAGAAAATTTTAGAAGTCCTCAGCCATGGTCAGACCCACACTGGGCCCTTAAGTATGGATGCCAGAGCCTGTTCTAGGCACCAGAGATGCTCCTGGAACTCAGAACAGGGCCTCACCCTCTCAGAAACAGGCCCCTGAGGTGTGTTAGGTAGTGAGCCGTGTGGAGAGGGGTGACCTGGTGAGAGGGAAGGGCAGTGGTCGGGAGCAGGCAGCACCCGAAGGACGCGCTGCCGGAGACTGAGGGCCAAAGACAGGGGCACGGCTTGGCCACAGGCACCGAGGCAGAGGTCTCAAGTCCAAGGAAGACACACCAGAAGAGCCCTGAAGGCCAGCCTGGGGCTTGGCCTGGGCCTGGGTTGCCTTGGGTTCTGAGTGGGCCACCAAGCCCATTTTCTCTGGGGCCAAGGTTCCTATACCCTCCACCTCACTCTCCTCTTTTTGTCTAGAATAACCCCAAATTGCCTTCAGGGTTACTGCTCTAGAATTTGGGCCTGCCCTGCTGACCTTTAACTTCAGGCGGGGACGGGTCTTGTTGCAGCTGGACAGCGATGACCTCCTGGATGCCCCTGGGGAGTCCCAAAGTGCCTTCTATGAAGGTCCTGGGGTAAGTGTCCACGCTCCCAGTCATCGCTCGAGTTGCTCAAAAAGCAGGCAGTGGGAGGAGGCCCCAAAGGCCAGAGGGAAAGCCTGGGTGTGTGCCCTGGAGGCTTTGACGAGCTAATGCAGGGGACAGTCACCAGGAACAAGGTGGGGCAGTCCACGCAGTTGGACTTCCCTGACCGTGTGTGAGGCCAGCGTGTCCTTGAGCCAGCTGGTGCAGAGCAGTTCTGGGAGCTGGGCTCACCCTGGGACACTGCTCTGGAGAGAGGGCTGGGGGAAGGCAGGGGTCCTGCCCGGCTTAGCCATGCAGGGTGGCTGGGGAGGGGCCTCCTCACACAGACATGCCTCTGCCTGGGGGATGAAGGTGTGGTGACCACAAAGTGTGGGGCAGTCGGGACGCACTGGAGCACCTGCCGGGCCCCTGCCCTGGCCTCGTTCCCTGCGCCCGGCTCTCGGTATCTTAAGGTACAAATGGTGCGGATGCTAATTAACATTTAGTTCTTCCAGCGACTGTAATATTATATTCCGAGTAATCTGCCTTTCATGACATAAATGTTTACATTTAGAAACAACAACAACATGTCCCGGCAGAGTTGTTCATGTATAGACCTGAGGCGATGATAACCCTGTACTTTTATTATTTTGTGATCGTTATTTCCATCGTAACTGTCACTCTTTCACCTGTGAGGTCCCCGGCTGGGTTCCTAGCACAATTCACACCTGGTGTCGGTGAGTTCTCACACTGTCCCTAAGGCTGGCACTTCGTACCATTTGGCCTCAGAACCCCGGGGCACAGTGGCCTCCCAGGTGCTCATTCAGTTTGGCCAAACAGAGCCCTGTCCTGCGGTGCCCCCTCCTCTCTCCTCACCAGCTGGGGCCCAGGTGGCCTCCCTGCTTGGAAGGAGGAGGTAGCAGCACCTCTTGCTGGGCTTTTACTAAAAACAGGGACAATAATAACCGCTCTGTTTCTCACACGCGTGCTGTTCTGGGCGTTGCTCTAAGCCCTCCGTGGGTTCATTCAGAACTTTCAAGTTACAGGTTTTGATCCATTATCTGGTCTAAGATTAGTGAAGATGACATATTCCAAGCCCAAGTACTGCCCATGGGGCTCCAGCTTACACACGCGCAGCCTGGATTGTGTCCCCCTCAGGCTGAAAAGGGCTTTGGAAATGTTGAACTCGCCAGGAATGGTGGCGCACGCCGATAATCCTGGCACCTCAGGAGACCAAGGCAGGAGGATTGCAATTTGAGGCCAACCTCAGCAATTCAGGGGGGCCCTAAGCAACTTAGTGAGACCCTGACTCAAAATAAAAAATAAAAAGGAACTATTTAAAAATTCATTTTTATTACCATCTGCTGATGGGACCCGTGAGAAACTGAAGTCAGACTAAGCAAGCCCCAGGTTGCCACCCAGGCGCTGGCAGAGCTGGGGTCACATCGCAGGGCCAGCGCATTCTGGCTGGAGTGTTCTTTCTGTTTTTTGGTTTTAATATTTATTTTTTAGTTGTAGTTGGACACGATACTTTGTTTTATTAATTTATTTCTATGTGGTGCCCGGGATCGAACCCAGGCACTCACAAGTGCCAGACAAGCGCTCTGACGCTGAGCCGCAGCCCAGCCCCGTGGAGTTTCCTGAACAGGCTGCGGTGAAGGTGACGCCGGGTGTGCTCTTCACTAACCTCAGCTCTCCCCCTTCCCCTCCCTCACCCCAGCTCCATGTGCAAGAAGCTCCTGGCAACCACCTGAACCCAGAGCCCAGCCAGCCGGCGCCCAGTGTGGACCTGGACTTCCTGGAAGATGACATTCTGGGCTCGCCCGCCACAGGGGGCGGCGGGGGCGGCGGGGGCGCCGACCAGCCCTGCGACATCCTGCAGCAGAGTCTCCAGGAAGCCAACATCACCGAGCAGACGCTCGAGGCCGAGGCCGAGCTGGACCTGGGTCCCTTCCAACTGCCCACCCTGCAGCCCGCGGATGGTGGGGCCGGTCCCACGGGTGCTGCAGGGGCAGCCGCTGTGGCGGCAGGACCCCAGGCCCTCTTCCCAGGCAGTGCCGACCTTCTGGGGCTGCAGGCCCCACCCACTGTGCTGACCCACCAGGCCTTGGTCCCCCCCCAGGACATGGTCAACAAGGCCCTGAGTGTCCAGCCCTTCTTGCAGCCCGTAGGCCTGGGCAATGTGACCTTACAGCCCATCCCAGGCCTCCAGGGCCTGCCCAATGGCAGCCCTGGGGGGACCACAGCGGCCACCCTTGGCCTGGCACCCATCCAGGTGGTGGGGCAGCCTGTCATGGCGCTCAACCCACCCACCTCCCAGCTGCTGGCCAAGCAGGTGCCTGTCAGCGGCTACCTGGCCTCAGCAGCTGGGCCCTCAGAGCCAGTGACCCTGGCTTCAGCTGGTGTGTCCCCCCAGGGGGCTGGCCTGGTCATCCAGAAGAGCCTCCCGGCGGCCGTAGCCACTACACTCAACGGGAACTCTGTGTTCGCGGGGACGGGGGCAGCCACAGCAGCAGCCAGCGGGGCACCCTCAGGACAGCCCCTGGCGGTGGCCCCTGGCCTCGGCACATCGCCACTGGTGCCAGCACCCAATGTGATTCTGCATCGCACCCCCACACCCATCCAGCCCAAGCCTGCAGGCGTGCTGCCCCCCAAGCTCTACCAGCTGACGCCCAAGCCGTTCGCCCCCACGGGCGCCACACTCACCATCCAGGGCGAGCCAGGGACCCTGCAGCAGCCGCCCAAGGCCCCCCAGAACCTGACTTTCATGGCAGCGAGCAAGGCAGGCCAGAACGTGGTGCTCTCGGGCTTCCCGGCGCCCGCCCTGCAGGCCAACGTCTTCAAGCAGCCCCCTGTCACCACCACGGGCGCAGCCCCATCCCCGGCCCCCGGGACCCTGAACAAGTCCATGAGCCTCCACCTCCTGAACCAAGGCAGCAGCATCGTCATCCCAGCCCAGCACATGCTGCCCGGCCAGAACCAGTTCCTGCTGCCCGGCACGCCTGCCGTCCAGCTCCCCCAGTCGCTCTCAGCCCTGCCGGCCAACGTGGGGGGACAGATCCTGACCGCCGCCGCCCCCCATGCAGGTGGACAACTCATCGCCAACCCCATCCTCACCAACCAGAACCTGGCAGGCCCGCTGAGCCTGGGCCCTGTGCTGGCCCCGCACTCAGGGGCCCACAGTGCTGCCCACATCCTCTCAGCCGCCCCTATCCAGGTGGGCCAGCCCGCACTCTTCCAGATGCCCGTGTCACTCGCTGCCGGCAGCCTGCCCACACAGAGCCAGCCGGCACCCACTGGCCCTGCTGCCACCACCGTCCTCCAGGGGGTCACGCTGCCCCCCAGTGCCGTGGCCATGCTCAATACTCCCGATGGGCTGGTGCAGCCGGCTACCCCCGCTGCCACCGCCGGGGAGGCCACACCGGTCCTCACGGTGCAGCCCGCTCCCCCAGTCCCCCCAGCGGTCAGCACGCCACTGCCTCTGGGCCTCCAACAGCCTCAAGTGCAGCAACCCCCACAGGCCCCCACCCCTCAGGCTGCTGCCCCACCTCAGGCTACCACCCCCCAGCCCAGCCCAGGACTGGCATCCAGCCCGGAGAAGATCGTCCTGGGGCAGCCACCCTCTGCAGCCGCCACAGCCATCCTCACTCAGGACTCCCTGCAGATGTTCCTGCCCCAGGTACCAGGGCTGGGCCAGGCGGGGGGACTGGGCCAAGGGGGGGAGTTGGGGATTGCCCCCCAGCCGAAACCAGATGTAGAAAAGGCAGCCAGCGGCGGAGGGGGGAGTGTCTCAGCACAGGTACTGTGGGCACAGCTGACCCCCAGGAGGTCAGGGTGAAGGACCTGGCCGAGACAGCAGGGGGCAGACTGGCAGATTGGCCAGCGGGTGTGCAGAGAGCAGGACTGGCCGACAGACAGATCAGGGGAAGGACGGACAGGCAAGGGAAGGGACCTGCTAGCCAACTGACAGACAAGGAGGAGGACCTCTCAGTGGGCAAGACCGGGCGACAGACAGACAGACAGACAGCAGAAGGGGGGAGTGGGTGGGGCTGGAAGACACCCAATGGACTGGTGCCAGGGCCCGGGTTGCAGCTTCCCTGGCCCCTGGAACGCTGGCTGCCCACCACACGTTCTCTGGACCCAGGGGAGCAGCGGTCTCTGGTGGGGGGGCGGGGGTCCGTGGGGTGTCTTCTGACCCTGTGCGGGCTGCCCGTTGCAGGAGAGGAGCCAGCAGCCCCTCTCCACAGAGGGCCCCCACCTCTCCGTGCCTGCCTCGGTCATAGTCAGCGCCCCGCCTCCCGCCCAAGACCCAGCCTTGGCCACCCCCACCGCCAAAGGAGCTGGCCTCGGCCCTCAGGCCCCCGACAGCCAGGCTTCCCCGGCTCCAGCCCCCCAGGTAGATGAACCCCAGCAGCCTCTGTCCTTGGCTGAGACCCAGCCTCGCCCCTGCTCCTGCTCTCCTCCCCGCTCTGCCCTGCCTGCCTCTGTCTCGCTGACTCCCCCTGGCCCCCTGCCCCCCCCACCTATCCATATTTTGTGAGTGTCTCCAGAGAGCGGGGACCGTTGAGACCAGGTCCAGCCCTGGAGCCCACACTCTAGGCAGGGACACAGGATGCCTCCAGCGGGAAATGAGTTATTCCTAAAGATGCCAGGCTCACACTGGAGTAAGTGACGCCCCCGAGGGTTCACATCCCAGGAGATGCCAAAAGGGGTGGTGAAAAGCCCCCGCCTCGGCCTCTGAGGCTCCCCGGGGTGGCTCTTGCAGTTCTTTTCTGTACATAGAGGAAAGTCACACGTGCATTCTTTTCTTTCCATTTTTACAAACACAACATACTCTGCCTACTGGTCGCATCTTATCATTTCCAGTGACCTTAGAGACACTCTTCTTTTCTACAGCTGTGTGGTGGCGTGCTCCGCCAGGCTTGGTCGTTAGCTGTAGAGAATGAGTGTGTCCATGATTCTGTGGGCTGAGTTCCTACAGGGGGTTGCCCTTGGCCGGATTGCCCTCTGTGGGTCTGAATCGGCTTGGTCTTCATCATCAGTACGTGATTTGTACCTGTTTTCCTGAAGTCTCGCTGGTATTGAACTTGGTCAAGCTGATAGGTGACCACAACTACCGTATGTTGTTTCAATACGTATTTCTTTTATTATGAATAAGGTCAGGCAAGTTTTCAGAGGAAGGATTATTTGTAAGTTCTGTTCTACGAAATTGCTTTAAAGTTTGGGTCACTGGTCATTTTATTATTGATTTATAGAAACTCTACCTGTAGGGAAAATGAGCTCCTGCTCATATGAGTCATTGTCATGTAAACATAAGAAGTCATGGAGGGCCACTTTGCTCTGCAGGAGTGGATGGTGTAGTCTTTGAAAAGGACTAGGGACAGGTGGAGAGAAGAGGGAGTGGCCTCAGCATGGGCCAGGTGGCAGAGATCAGCATGGCCTTTGGCCTTGGACAGCTGTGGTTTTGCCATGTGACGTTGAGCCACCTGCTTCTTCAGGCCTCCCTCGGATGGGGGAGGGGCAGCAGCTGTAGGCAGTGAAGGAGGGAATCCGCCAGAAATGATTAGGTCATTATTGCTCCTAGCTGTCATATGGGAGGAGGCCTGGGGCCAGTGACAGTCACCAAAGAGACACAGGGTTAGGATGGCACCCAGGGAGAAAGGCAGGAAGGGGCAGGGGGATGAGGGGTCCTGTTTTGAAAATGCATGAGCTGAAGCTGCCTGGCTGGTGGCTTCCTCTCCAGGCCACCCCTCTAGGGTGTGGGAGCCCTCCTGAGGGCACTGTGGAGACCTGTGCACTCTTGCGCCTTGGTGGTTGTGGATGAGAAGATGCGTGCTGAGTGCTAGCTCTCCTGCTCGTCCTGAGGCAATAGGCCCTCCCTGTTCACCGGTACAGCCTTCAGCTCTCTATGGCAGGACTTTCACTTTTAAAACAGAGTCCTGGATCGATTTGGGAGGCTGAGGCAGGAGGATCGTAAGTTCAAGGCCAGCCTCAGCAACTTAGCGAGACCTTGTCTCAAATAAAATAGAAAGGGCTGGGGATGTGGCTAGTGGCTAAGCACCCCTTGGCTCAGTCTCTGGTACCAAAAAGCAAAACGAAGTCCCAGACCAGCCCAGGTCGAGGGCCCGATCTGCTCCTCCCCAGGCACTTCAGAGACTGCAGCCCAGCCTGCTCCTGCCTTCTCCAAAGTGCTCGTGTCCTCCTGCCCAAAGGGCACGGTCTCTGTTGAGTAACTCGCACTCTCTGCCATAATCCAGGCTCTGGGAGGGCAGGGGATATGTCCCCTGAGCCCAGAAGTGCCTGGCAGGTAGCGAGTGCCCAGCGGATGGGAACACAGGATGGAGGGACACCTAGCCTCAGGAGCACTCCGTGGCCGGCTCTGTGTCGAGCCCACCACAGTGAAGTGGAGGGAGACTCAGGCCCGTCACCGGCCTGCAGCCAGCCAGAGAGGGCATTGGCGGTGGTGGCAGCAGCGAGTGCAGCAGGGGCACCGCTCCCTGTGCAGGAGGGCCTATGCCCTGAGGGGACCCTGCATTTGCAGAGCCCCAGGCTGGGATGGCAGTGGGGAGGAGTGGTGGAGCAAGAATGGGTCGAGAAGCCGCAGCTTCCATGGGCCATCGAGAAGTTTGGACCTAGAAGGGGTGGACAGTCCCCAGCCAGGCCGCGGCATGCTCCGGTTACTTGCCATTGGAAGATGGTTTGTCGGAAGACAAGAGTGGAAGTGGAGACCTTGAGGTGGCTGGGGGGGTCTCCAGGGAAAGGGGGCAGTGTCTCAGGCTGGGAGCTAGCAGAGACGAGGGAGAGGAGTGCAAGGGTTTGGGGGACGGTTTGGAAATGGCTGAAGGGCTGGAGGCTTGAGGAAGAGGGTGTGTGGCAATCACGCCACAGATGGCAGCCCTTTCTGTCGTCTCTCAGTGCAAGCCGCACACTTCACAGCCAGCCTCTCATCGAAACCCTATGGCGCCTCCTTCAGGTGGGTGGTGTTCATCCCCCATTTACAGATGAGGAAGTTGAGGCCCAGAGAGATGAATTTGCTTGCCCAGGCTGCCCAGCTGGTCAGGGCAGAGCCTAGATCCAAACCCTGGCAATTTGTGGCAAGAGACAGGCCCGGGTGTGAATCCTGCTCTGTGTAGTCAGCTCTCAGAAGTGCAGTTTCCTCACCTGCAGAATGGAGTGAGGCCCCCGACTGACCACGCGGTGGCTGTGCACAGGCTAGCGCTCAGGGATGGCAGTGACCCTGTGGGCACTTGGACTGGCAGGTAGGGATGTGAGCTGATTGCATCACACACAGGCCGCCTGGGACAGTGCACAGGTTTGGCCCTGTGCAGCGGTTGCCTACCATGACGCCTGACGTGTGGGAGGCTCTCCAGTGGTGGTCAGTGAGCAGTGAGGGGGTCAGTGGTCACCAAGGGTGCTCTGGAGCGATGTGGTCACTCACTTTGAGAAGCATATGAGAGATCCAAGCAGTAATTCCTTGCTGTCAACCTCTGAGCTCTGACCCAGGTAGACTTGACTGTGCATGCGAGCATATGCGTGTGAGTGCGTGTGCGTGCATGTGTGTGTGCGTGTGTGTGCGTGTGCGTTTGTGTACACGTGCACTTTCCTCTCATGTTTCTGCAGACAGAAGCCCCCAAACCGAATTGTGCATTCGGCTTTGCTTCTTTAGCAACAGTGTTGGAGTCCTGCCTCTCAGACGACTTCCCTACCCACCTTGGATCAGAGTGCCTCTTAATGTCACCACCCAGGGAACACCTGTGTGTATGTGTCACTGAACACAGAGCTTCCCCGGTGCCCTGCATGATGCACACCAGTGTTTCCTATTCTCTCTCTTGTGTTCTTCGTAAATCTGATCACAGCCCATGGGGTGACTTGAGTCATTGCGAATGGGCACGGGGAGCATTTGGCACTCACGCCTGGGAGGACTGTGAGGAAGGGTGCTTGGACCCCTGGCTCTGTGACTTTAGGCAAGTTGCTGGCCTCTCTGGGCCTCAGATTCCTTATCTGTAAAAATAAGGATAATAGCAGCTACTTTATAGTTACAAGGACTAAATAAATCAATGTATGTAATGCCCTTAGGTCAGGGTTGGGGGCCTGGAAAGAATGTATGTTTTACTGTGGAACAAAAATAACCGGACCAAGTCTTCTGTCCTTCTCCATTATTTAGTTATTTGTTTCTCCAGGCAAGCTCGCCATAATGAGCAGCGTGCCGGTCCTAAGCTCTCATGTAGTGGAGAAGCAGCATAAACCACAGCAAACAAGCTTGGAATGTTCCAGTAAAACTCCAAGACGCTGAAATTTGGAATGTCATATGATTTTCATGAGTCACAAAATACTACTCTACTTTAAAATTTCCCCCAATCATTTAAAAATGTAAAAACGTTTCTTATCTTGTGGGACATAGAAGACGGTAGGCCAGGCCAGGCAGTGGGCAGATCTGGCCTGTGGCCTTGGTGTGCTCTCCTTTGAGGTCTATCTATCGTGGCTCATGATCGATATCCCTCCCTCCCTGCAGGGGGGTTGGTTCCAAGACCCCCACGCAGACACCAAGGCTCTGTAGCTGCGGAGCCTCTCCGTAAACTCACGTGGATTTTTCAGTGTTGATTCTCACAGTGCTGGGGCTGGAACCCAGGGCTGTGTGAGCCGGGCGAGGGCTCTGTCCAGCAGTGCCCCACCCTGACAGCACCTGCTCCCCTGGGCTTTAGGTTGTTCACAGGTGACTTACAGTGCCTGAGACAATGTGCTATGTGAGTGTTGTCACGCTGTGTTCCTCAGGGAATAGTAAGAAAAAAATGTCTGAACGTGCTCAGTGCAGACATAATTCCTTTATATACCTCTTTCCCCATTCAGCCGTCACAGGGCCAGCTGTTTGAAGTCACCTTGAAGTATGTATTCAGTTCCCTCTTCAGGAATGCTCAAGGTGGTCCCTTGTCACGGCTAACAGCAGCACTTAAAACACTGGAGTCCATGTTGAACACATCTGCAGGGTAGATTTCTAGAAAGAGAACCGTGTGCTCTAGAGCAAAGCGCTTCCCAAACATTTTATGTAAATGTCACCTGGTTGCCCTGCACGGTGCTGGGCCACCGAGGGCTTCCTCCCACAGCCCACCAGCACCAGGTCATAGCTAGCCTGCTCTTCCCTGGGCCACAGAACATCAGTTCCCTGTCCTTTTCTCTAATCATACACGAGGCTGAGCATCTGCCATCCACATGAATAGCTGAAATCTTTTTTTTGTGTGTGTGTGTGTGTGTGCTGGGGACTGAACCCAGGGCCTTATACATGTAGAGAGCAAGCACTCTACCAACTGAGCTCTGTCCCCAGGCCAGAATCTCTTGACAAATATTCCTGTGGCAGTGATTTCAAAACTGATCGGGCTGGAGTGCAGCCTAATAGAGCACTTGCTGAGCATGCACGAGGCCCGCGGCTCACTCCCCAGCACCATGAGGGACGTGTGTGTGGTGTGTATATACACATGTACATATACACACATGTATACACATGAGAGTTTAATGCTTATTTAGAAAATTTAGAAGATACAGGAAAAAAAATCCCCTGTAATGGCACCCTGTGGGTGCAGTTGGTAATGTCGTGGGTTTCTTCTGTGTCAGGGCACAGTGTGTCACCCTGGCCCTGTCTCCCCAGCCTACTGCCACCTGTCCCCCTCCAGGTAACCACGGCAACTTGTTTTGTACACCCTTCCAGGTCCTCGTGTGGGTGCTGAAAGGCGGCTTTCCGTTCTGTCCCGTTGGGCCCCAGACTGTGCATTATATGTTTAGGTGGCCTGGGGCACGTGTCCTCATCCCCGGGTATAGTTGGAAGCCTTCCTCTGGGGACATTGGTGTTCATCTCCCTGTACGTGGCTACTGATGGGCATTAGGCTCCACATGGTGCTGCAGGAAGCCCCAGTCCCTGCCACATTCCCCCGTGGCAGTCTGTTCACTTCCTGGGAGCTTGTTTGCTGCAATAAGCGGATGTGCACTCTCGATCTAGTCGCTCTGGGCTGCTTTTGATGTGCATTTCTCTCTCTCTCTCTCTCTTTCTCTCTCTTTGGTACTGGGGATCGAACTCAGGGGCACTCGACCACTGAGCCACATCCCCAGCTCTATTCTGTATTTTATTTGGAGACAGCGTCTCACTGAGTTGCTTCTTAGCACCTCACTTTTGCTGAGGCTGGCTTTGAACTCGGGATCTTCCTGCCTCAGCCTCCAGAGCTGCTGGGATTACAGGCATGTGTGCACCAGGGCACCTGAAAAGTTCTTTATTCTTTAACCACATTTGTTAGTTATCTGTTGCTGTGTGATAAGTGACCGCTAAAACTTAGCAGCTTAAAGCAGCAAGCGACAGTGTGTCTCTCAGTGTGAGTCAGGGCCTGGAAGCAGCGGGCTGGGGGGG